TTCCCCCATATAAAAAAAGAGAAAAGAAAGAAGAGACTAAACTATCAATTCCTTAAATTGGTAGGCTATTAGAGGTTAATTTCAAGACTTAGGCATATGATAATCATCTTGAAAATTTTGCTTATGTAGATATTGAGCCTAATCGAGTTCCGGAACCATCGACAAGTAGGATCAATCGAGGGAAAGACAAAGAAATCTAGGTGAGTGCATATGCATAGCATGAATATGTATTTTATTCAGTTCTAGACTTGTGATAAGTCTAGATTCAATATTTTGATACATGATCGTAGTTCATATGATGATATATGACATGAATCCATACCATATGCATTATGGGACATGAATATGAAAGAAAAAGTTATATGAGTTATATGATAAAGGTATGGAAATAATATGTCTACGTGATATTAATTAGATAAATTGTGAAAGCCCATGTTATGTAAATGAGAACTATAGGTATAGTTGGCATGCCAAGGGTAGAGGGTCTATGTGGTCTTTCGGGACATATATGTATTCTTTGGAACATGTGTGAAGTATGGCGAGACACATACTTGATCATTGGCATATGTATATGATTCTTAAGGAATGATATGTGGTCCTTCGGGACATATATGTATTCTTTGGAACATGTGTGAGGTCTGGTGAGACACATACTTGATCCTTGGCATATGTATATGATTCTTAAGGAATGATATGTGGTATTTCTGGACATTATTATATGGCACTACGGTGCAATTCTACGCGGTACTCCGGTGCAATTCTACGTGGCACTTAGGTGCAATTATATGAGCTGTGGTGACAGCATAGTGCACAACCTCACAATACTCACATACCTTAGGTTCTCTGTATGGTACCATGGGCTAATGAACTTACTAAGGTGAACTTATGAATGTGAATTTGATAAGTATATGTGTAAGAAACATGGTTTTGGTTATTGCATTGTTTACATACATCTTATTACTACAACCCATCTCATTTTGGCAATTACTTTATATTTATTGATATTATATTATTATATTGCCTCACTAAGTCGATGACTTAGCATGTGAGTGTTTCACACGTAGGATCCGATAAAGTAGACGATCGAGGTTAAGCAGCTAGACAACATTACTCCTGCAACTATCAGATCAGAAGCAACTTAATCAGTAGGTTATATTTATTATGAAAATGGATGTTGGCATGTAATTAAAGAGTTAAGTTGTGTATGCTCTGAATATTTTGGTAAACTTATATTACCATATGTATATTATTGTATTTTTCGTAATATAAGTTCAAGTATTTTACTATTATTTGTAATGAGTTGTGTTTTAAAAGTCAATGTAATATCTCTGACTTGTATCTGGGTTGGGATACGGGTTGGGGTGTTAGATAAGATATAAAAGCTGATTTTATTTTTGCATTAATTCATTGTTTGAAGCTGTTATACAAACGAATAAACTTGGCCTCAATTTTGTCTAGGTTCGTGGATATAAATCCAATAGTTTGTAACTCATGCAATAAAACTCTGTAACTCTTACATTAAAGCTATGTAACTCTTGCATTACACTTGTAATAGCTCAATAAAACATCCTGAGCATAGCTTGAATATTGTCTAGGTTCATCTAACGTTTTACAGACTTTAATTTTAAAAACTGACTGTTTGAATTTTAATTTCACAAATCAATACAACTAATAAAATTATTGTTACTCTCTGCAAATTTAAAATTCGAACAGACCATTTGAGCCTATAAATATCAGACATATTCTTTCACATTTTTTCATTTGACATTTCAGAGAAAAATTCCTTACGAATTTTCTCTAAAAAGATAGAATCAGCGCGGACGTGTTGAAGACACGTACGTATTGCCATAAGCCACGAGCCATGACCTCGACCACGAGCACAAGTTGAGACAAGATGGGCAAACGGATTACGACGACCCCTTGTTCTCTATCACTCACCAAGGGAGTGAAGAATGTAAACCTTAAATACCCAATCCCAATTTATTTCCCACTCAATGTGGGATTGAGCATTACCAACATAGTTGTATGAAGTAGAGGAACATATCAAGATGATAATTTCGCCAGAACCTGAAACCCAAAAATCAAAGAAATCTCAAAACTCAAAGGCCCTTCTTTAAGATTTTGAGCCAAAATACCCTGCAGCTTGAGAAAATACAGTTGTGGTCTACACCACAACATTGGAAGGATCAGAAAGACCTTTGAGGGATGCAACACAATTCGATGCATCATTGAATCATAGCAAATCCAAATGTTCAAGCGGGATCTATCGATGTATTCGGGGTTTAAGGAAGAGTTGAGAAAGCTAAAAGGCGCAAAAGAAGTGAAAGTTCCGCTAGTATTTGTTAAAGGAATGTTGATTGGGGGAGTGGAAGAGATTGTGAAGTTAGAAGAGGAAGGCAAACTAGAAATTTTGTTCGAAGGGATTCCCATTGCAGTCCCGAGTATAAAGGTTGTGGAGGGGTGAGATTTGTGATGTGCAAAAATTGCAACGGGAGGTGCAAAGTTTTAAATAAGGAACAGAAGAAGATAATGTGTAGTGATTGCAATGAAAATAGATTTATACAATTTCCTATTTGTTGTCCGATATAGTAGAATTTAGCATTTCCACATAGTTAGTATGTGACCTATTCTCAAGCTGTTCTTGTAATAATGTTATCTTGAAGAACCATTTTTTTCTAATTTGGGAAGTGGGGCTCTAAAGTGGGTTTTAGGCCTTGATTGTAAAAGATTGATTGTTTTGTTGTTTATTGGATGGTATGGTTTGCCTAATGTTCGTTTACTTATGTCAGTGCCTGTTTCTCCTCTCCTTCATTTTGTGCTTTAAGCAAACCCTGCATGATATTGAGTTAAATCTTTATAAGCAAGCATTTTCAAGAACATCTGGGATCTGATAATCACTCTCATAAATTTTGTAGCCGGAACGAGCACACGCTTGATTTACGATGTTGATGGTTGCAAGATTCTGCATATACAAAGAGTTTGAGCTAATGACAGATTTCGAATATCGATGCTTAGAACAAGTGTACGAGCTGTGACTTTGATCAAAAGTATGAGCTTCACAATGACTTGTACTCATTAAGATGATACGCAAGCGTGGCAAAAATAAGATAAACTTCATTAGATATCTTAAAAAGTTGTTGACAAAGATAAGCTATAACAAAAATCATACATGAAATCACTTAAATTTCACCACAAAAAAAAGATTTCATAAACACATTATAAATCAATTATCCTTAGCAACTGTTGAAATTGAGGGAGAGGAACCCTTTATCCTTAACAAAAATTAAAAACCCCCAAAACACCTTATTGTCTTACTTGGGTTTACGACAGTTACAAAACTCCGCAGTTTTGTATCTAATTATTCATGATCAAAATTATTTTGTATTTTATGTTTATTGAATGCATTATTTTAGGAGTTAAGGTTAAATTTAGATGTTGAAATTCAGGGTTTAAAATGTATGATTTTATGTATTATAGTATCAAAATAGACGCGATTGTATAAACTATATTTTACACGGATAGTGCATCAAATAATTTTTCTTATTCAATTTTTTTAAAAAAAGAGTTGTGGGTGGGGGATAACTCATTATTAATTTTTAGTATTAACTTATCCCAAGTTAAACTCAACATTTACGGATTTACCCTATTCCTTGAATAAGTAAACGCCACTCTCTTTAAAGCATCCAAACTATATAAAAGCCTCATTTGAAAGAAGACCAAAAATAAAATAAACCTAACATTTGTTGCCCCCATGTCACCAACGATTCTCAAAGAAGGAGAAGCCATTCCGTTAAGTTGGAATCAATGGAATCAAAACGGAGTGCAGAAAAAGGAAGAGGCCTTTCTCCCTTGGAAATATAATGCACACAACGAAAAAGATCGCCTGGATAGAGCGTTAAGGTTTTGTGAAAAAGTTAGGAAGGAAACCAGTTTGGAGGATTATCTGATGTTGCTGCGATGCCTTCACCATTATGGCACAGGAAATATATCAATGGTTGATCTGAAGGTGAAGATAGCCGATTACTTCCCTAGTTTCATTGATGATTTTTGTCGTGTTTTGGAGCACTATGATGGAAAGATGGATGACGTGGGGAAGAAGAAACAGAAGAAGAAGGGATTGATGATGGGTTATTGACAGAAAGCTATCAGTTTCTTCCGAAAGAAGTTGCAGGACTTAGCTGCAAGGGTGCCACAGAACTTGAACAAGTTCTCAACAGAACCTGCTATTTTAAACGACGCATGATGAAAGTATAAGCCGTGCTAAAAAGGAGTTAAATGAAAGAGAAGACGAGTTGTTCATCATGGATATGTGGAAGGCATGGATGCATTCCACCAGGGAGAATACTACAAAGCTGGACAGAGCCTTGAGGGATGGGGTAATCCAGAACCCAATGGTGAAGGATGTGAACAGCTATTTCCCGGAAAACAATTTCAGTTTCATAGCCAAAATGTATGGGATGGATGGTCAATGGTGGATCAACTGCGTGAGAAGCCTCAAACATTTCTTCCAGTCCTTATCAGAAGGCTGGACAGGATGGAAACTGAAACCCTTCCGCTTTGATCCCTAGATTAATTTTTTTTATAAGGCTATATCATCAAGTTTGCCTTCTGGACTCATCCGTATGTATTGCATGGGGAACTAGTTTATGTATTAGATGCTTAATATATCCAAATTTTATGTTTTTCAACGTCTCTGATTTGTGGAAATTATATATGTTTACTGGTCCAAATGTATTTGGGAGTTTGTTCCCTTAATACAGAAAAAGTTCGAAGCATACAAATTTAAGTGGCAACAGAAGGAAGTTCTGAATCAATGTTTTAGTATGAGTGGAATAAGGAAAATCCCCAATGGGCAAAACAATGATAGTTACAAACTTACAAGAAACTCTAAAACAAATAAACTTGAGATCAGGAAAAAAAATGATTGAATTTGCTAGATTTTATCACTCTTTTGGTTAGCTGCATCATCCTGCAACCAACATGTATATATATAAATATACGTTCATTTCTCTTTAAGTTTCTTGGTTATGACAATGACTACTCCAGCCACCGCCACCACCGCAGCCGAAATTAACACGGCTGTTTTCAGCGTCTGCATGGAGTTCTTCCTTCCCTCTTTCTTTTGTGGTGGCTCAGCTCCTCCCTTAATTTCCAAGTTTGTAATAAATCAGTCGGAGTTAGCAAGAATTGATGCCAGTTTTGCTTTGACATGAAAATAATATCTAGACCTTAGGGACTTTGGGAAGCCTTGAATTATGTTTTTACACTTAAATTTGATTTAATATCCATACCCCAAAACCAGAAAAGATTCTAAGAAGAAAGTTCATTTTCGTTTTCAATATATATATATTTACCTTGATATCTCGAGAAGTACTGATCTCACTTGACAAGCAAACCTCCTTGAAGTCCTTGTCATGACCGGGATTCAGCTCGGCATTAACATCAGCAGCCGGAAACGTTCCACATTCGGCATCAGAAAATTCATCTTCCATTTTTATTAAACCAGTAAATCTCCCTTTTTGATTGAAAGAACAGGGTAAAATGAAAAACTGATATAGGGTTGGGATTTCATATGAATAGAAAAATATGTCAAAGGCACGTGTCAATAACCAAGATCCTTGTAATCAGAGTTTTGTCGGGTGTTGAACTACTTTCTATTTTGTTCTCAACTGTCCCTGTTTTTTGTCGGGTTTAACTGAAACTATAATGATAAGGTTAACCATAACAAGTATGATTTTGAACCTTCAATAAAAAACTAAAAGCTAATTGAAACCTCAAATGGTTTGATTTCAATCAAGAACAATGATAACATAGTTTAGATTTCCATGAAAATTGTTTTTGTTCAATATGGATCATATCTGATCTTAAAAGTCATTAACAAACAAGTATATATCACCCATGAATTTCTCACTAATGATCAAAGCGCAACGAGTTTTCATAGCTCTTAGGACAGCTCGGAAACTCGGTTTAATCAGGAAGTAGATAATGATGAGTCCTGATGTTCTTCAGACTCCTAGTTCGTTGAACCAAAACCACGCGGACTTGGCCTTGTTGATGCTGAGTCTGCAAACTGCCTTCTTGATTCTGCTCTCCTCTTTCTTCTTGCAGTACCAGGAGGGGCCTAATGCATTGGAAGAAACAACGAAAACATCAATCATTGCAGAATAAATCTTTCTTAAAATCATTTGAATTGTCATACAAGTTCTTCAGAGCTTATAGGTGCACGAAACTGTCCGAATAAGTATGCATGTACCGAGTCACCTTTTGTTCAGCTTTCATTGCATCCTCAAGATTGCTCAGTGTTGGAATAGATCCACCCTCCATGATACCCATCAAGTTCTTCATGCGAACACGCATTTGGAAGAGTTGAGCAACAAGTTGACTCACCTGTTATTGACAGCAGATAATATTATCCCATCTAGAAGAAGTCGAAATCTTAAAAGCCTAAAACCACCAGCAATTCATACCTGCTGCTCTGTTTTACCAGAATCTTGAGCAACTCTTTTCCTCCTTTGAGGAGACTCGGCTAATAACTCCGGCTTCTCCCTTTCCTCTGCAAATAAATAAGAAAAATAAATCAAGAGAATGTGTTTTGAAGTAAGAACAGGCATATTCAACGATACTTGTAAGCTGTTTTCTTACTGCCACCATTTAATCATCAATGCTGATTCCTAAATATGCATATAATAAGTTGCAGAAACAACTTCGTTGAGGTAAAACGTTAAGATGCCACACTGATTTATGCCATTTGGAAAAAGCAAGAAGTACATGGTTAAATAGGCCGTCTAGTCCAACACTTCAAGGAAACATCCATGAAAAGGGAAACAGACATGGTCCACATAAAGTTGCTAATTTCAAATGAGTCTGATAAAGGAACTAGAACAATATCTCTTTCCATGGATACTCAACTGTTCGTAGTCTATATCCTCCTATCAGACTCAGAAACCAACAGTATGTACTAGTTAAACACAAGTATATAGCAATATGGCTTCATTATTTCAGAAAAATGGGGCCATGTCTAATGGTGCAATACCATTTAATCGTAAAAGAAGCTAGATCAAGCTTAACCAAATAAAATTTAAAAGACGGAGATATGTCAGGTCATGTTTTCTCCTTCAAAAGTGCCACAGTAAATGCAGCTAAAATAAAGAGACCTGGTGTCATAGCTTCAATCATTGACTCCATTAATTTCAAATTCTTCTCTGCTTCTCGAACTTGGGCTGGGGTGACCTGTTTGGAAACAAATAGGACATCAAATTAGTTTCTTCTCACAGTCCATCGACTGGAAACTTTCGAAGAAATTTTAATAATGGACTGAGATACACAAGACTACTTTTCTAGCAGTAACAGTAAGCTCAACGGACCAAGAAGGTTGCATAAAATTTCAAACATAACAACAACTAAGAAAGAATAAGGAATCCCAGCTTTCTTACCTTTCCCATGCCAGGGATCATACCAATAACACGAGTCATGGAACCCATCCGAGCAACTGCACGAGTCTGCTTTAGGAAATCATTAAAGTCAAACTTTGCACTCATTATCTTCTTTTGCAACTCTTCAGCATCTTCTTGGCGCATCTGAACAGACATTTTGATTTACAAAACTCATCTTGATGTGTTTTACTTAAATAAATATGGGATGAAATTTATTAGAACTTACAACTTCTTGTGCCTTCTCAACAAATGAGAGAACGTCTCCCATTCCCAAGATACGTCCAGCCATACGATCTGGATAGAAAGGTTCAAGGTCCTCCATGCGCTCTCCACGTCCTACAAGCTTGATTGGCTTCCCAGACACCTATAACATTCCATAATATAGAACATACATCATTGACCACTATTTCCAGGTGCTTAAATATCAAATATTTCCCCAAGGAAGAGGGTCTATCACATAAAGTCATACACTCCAAGTGAAGAAAACCAAAGAAAATAGTATGACAAACCTCTTTAACACTCAAAGCTGCACCACCTCTAGAATCTCCATCTAGCTTTGTTAAAATGGCACCAGTAATCCCTATCTCAACATTGAATGTTGTGACCAAGGCTGTGAATTCAAAAAGAATGTGAAGAGAAGTACATCATGGTCTAGCCACAGTCATGATCTTGACAATAGCCAAATTAAGCAGGTAAATAGATACACAGATGTGGACAATCAAACGTGTCCAAATGAGTGAACATCAACTACAAAACTCCCAAGGTCATTTGCATGTGAATTCTCCAGCAACCGGGAATTTTAAGTAGAACATCTAGCCAATCAACAGCTGCAGGTCTGCTTGAATAAAATGCATGCTCTATAAATGTAAGTACTGAAATGAACACAATGTATTATTCAGAAAGAAATTATCCAATACCCTATGTGTAATATATGTTAAGACTAGGCTTAGACAAGGTCGACAACCTCACCCAGGGTCATCAATCTGGGGTTAGGCAGGAACAACATAACAACACCTAGTTTTGACACAATGTTAAACCAAAACCAACTTCCAACGAGTGGAGAGACCCAACTTCAATATAAAGCGACAGGAAAACCAATATTTAACTAACCACAGGATAGCACTGCTTAACAATACATAATATGAAAAACAAAATTTTATAGAACAAAAAACACTGAAGAATGAATGAGAAAAAGACAGTGGGATTATTGGAAGAGAAAGTTTGAAGTCTTGATTGAGTACCAGCAGCCTCTTGACCAGTCATTGCATCCACAACCAGCAAAACTTCTGTGGGATTCAACACTTTCTTCACTTCTTTCAACTCATCCATCATTCCTTTATCTATCTGTTCAACACAAGAAAGGAATTTGCATGAATGATTAACCTGAGGATGTTGCACCAGTTAGGTCACTAAAAATTTCAAGATAGATGCTAATGATATTACCTGGAGCCGTCCAGCAGTATCCATTATCACTACATCTATCTTCTTCTTTTTGGCCTCTTCTAAACCTTGCTTTGCTATTTCAGATGGCTTTACCTCAGTTCCCGATGTATAAACAGGAACTCCCACCTGTCACAAGCTTCAACATAGTATGAGAATCTTTTTGGTTAAAGAGAAACAACCTAACAGATGGGTAAATATAATTGTGACAGCCAATCAACACTTTACCAGTTAGAAATGGCAAAGACTCAAGAGGCAAAGCAATAAGGAGAAATATGAAACAGGATTGAAAATTGTTTACATGCATTATCTCATCCCTCAAAAGTCTGGTAATTTTAACTCATTTGAAACCAAAAATAATTCCACTTCAATTGAAAATCAGTCAGAAAACCTTTAACAATATAAACTTTATGCTAGAAAGCTTCTATTATAGCTACTTTTGTTTCGTTTGCTCTGTCTTAGTGAATAGTAATTGGTTATATGTGCAAACTGACATCTCCAACAAGAAATTCAAGTCTGCATTCCCTCATCTTGGTGCTAAGAGAATGTAAAACACGGTGCTTTCACCTTACAAGGCAAGCACAACTGGAGGTAAAAGTGCCACTATAGACTCTAGAGCTAACAGCATGCATATTTGACTTAGTGATCAGAATATCTTCTCTGAAATCCGGATTTGAAAGAAGTGATTAACAAAATGATATAAAACTAAAGGGATAAAAATTTTATTGACAATGAAGTCCTATACCTGTTCACCCAGAATAACAAGTTGGTCGATGGCAGCAGGTCTATACACATCTCCAGCAATAAGCATGCAACTCTTACCCTGTAGTCAACATTATGCTCCACTGTCAATTGAAGGTTAACCAAACATGCTAAAAAATTTTATACGTGATAATACAAATGGAACCTGTTTCTTAAGATAATTAGCTAACTTCGCACAAACGGTTGTCTTCCCAACTCCCTGCAGACCAGCCAATAATATAACAGTGGGGGCAGATTTTGAGAACACCAGTTCAGAAACCTCTCCTCCCATCAATTTCACTAACTCATCATGTACAATCTACAACCAAGGAAGACATGTGTGGTTTGTATAAATTAAAAATCAGAAACAATAAGACAGATCTTGTTTTTTTTTAAACAAGAATGAATGCAAGATCCTGCTCAACCAAACACGTAAAGCGAATTCATAAAAGCCTTTCTTAGAGGATTCCTTAGCAAAGTTGGTTTTGTTGATAGAAAGATCATACCTTAACCAATTGTTGATCCGGCTTCACCCCTCGAATAAGACCAACTCCAACAGCCTGGTCACTTACAGATTGGACAAACCGTCTAACAACAGGAAGACTCACCTACGGAAAGACACCAAACACGTGTTATTAATACGTTCGCTACAAAATGAAAATCGAAGAAAAACCCCCAAGAATTTTCCAGAACACAACTCAGTCACTTACATCTGCTTCCAAAAGGGCTCTCCTAATGTCACGCATTGGCTCCACAATATTCTCCTTTGTCAAAACCTCTGAAATACAATAAAAAGAAATCTTTTTTTAATGATTAAAACGTTTGTCTTTTATGCTCTAGCTTTCGAGGGGGCAAACCTTCTCCTTTAAGTTTGGTCCAAGCAGCTTCGAGGCCACTCGTCAGCTGA